ATTTTTGTATCTAACCATCACTCTGTCTCCAGCTGAATTGTCGTCTGCTACCTCCCTTTTACTTCCAATCAGTGATCCCAAATCAGCCTTCTGATTGAATATAAAACATAAAACATTCAATTCAATACATAATAATTACCCATTTACTACTTTCTACTTTTCAGATAAATTCCAAATTCTAACATGTTCTACTACAGAGCACTGCATGGTTTGGCTTCTAAGTTATCTCAAGGTTCATTTCAATGCCGTTCTTTCCTTTAACTTTTGTAAAGGTATTTTATTCTATCCTGCCAGCAAGCGTTCATATGCTGGTCCCTACCATGTGTCTACTTCACTCAAAGTATACATTTGTCCCCTATTTGCCTAGTTAACTCCAACTCATACTTGAGGTATTTTGAATTCTGATTCTGTTGCTTAGAATTACCGGTCTTTCCCAATTGTGTAGCACATCGTCCTCATTATTGGCAATTAAAGCTAATATAGTTGTATCTGTCACACATAGAATTATAGACCAAAGTTGACTGTGGTTCTAAGTGTTTAGGCTGATTTTGACTGGGCTTACTTGTGCTCCTGGGGGCCAATTGATCTGTATTGGTGCACCTTGGCTTGCCTTCAAAAATCTCTCACCTTCCTCCTGATACCAGAATGTGATCTCATTTGCCAAGTGGCTGAAGGGCAAGAAGGAGCTCAAATGTATCTCAGCCTAAAACCTATCTGCCAAAATCCCATTGGCCAATCCCATAACAAGAGGGCTGGGCCAATGACTCTGTTCTTTGTGGGTGGAGACTATAAAGTCACATAGATAAATAAATAAAAATTCATTTATTTAATGCTTAATAGCTTCTTTAGCATCATAGCATCATCCATTCTTACTCTCATAGGTGATTCTTTATTATTCTTTTTTCATTTTAAATTATTTTTCCTGATTTCTGTCATTTGAGTGTCTTGATACTCTTCCAGATAACTTTATTGCAAACTATTTAGAAAAATGCAAGGAAGTGATGATATAGTATTTTCAGAAATTTGTTAAAAAAATCTTGTATTTTGGCTTTTACTAGGTATTTCAAGCATTTAAATGAGGTTTACAGAGAATGATCATATAATTACAGATCTTAGTGTCTGTCTTTAATACGAAGTCCAATACATGCTTTATTATTATTCTTCCTCAATAAGTTCATGATCATCAGTGGCATTTAGTTTCTAGCACTAAATTTGATATGCCCTATTTCTATCCAAATTTTGTATACAAGAAACATGACAAACCAACTGTCTTTGAAGATCATGATCCCTGAATATTTGTCTGGAAAAAAATTCTCAAAGAGCAAAGTAGAAATGCTGACTTGGCAATTTCAAACGATACGTCCCATAATCTCCACATTCCAGACGCTATCTGATTCTAAAAGGGTTTTGCCACCATAAAAATGTTACATTACCAAGACATGCAGGATAATCTAAATCTCACAGAGGAGACCTTCCTCTGTGTCAGGAGGACAAAATGCAGCAGTAGGTTTCTTTTGATTTCGTATTGCAGCTGCCATCACAGAGAAACACTGTAACAACACATAATAAAAATTAAACTAGAACTGCTAAGATGATTTTAGGTAAATACCAGACCATGAACTCTCATGCAATCTCAGAAAGCTAAGATAACATCCTGCAGTCAGTAGAAGCCTATTTATTGACAGTAAACATTTTAAATGTCAACAATTTTCAGAACCTAAGATAAAAACCAAACTAACGATTTCATTTCATTGCATTTTTATATATAATGGCAGTGTCTGTTTCTTGCATTTATTACGGAATATGTGAATGTATAGATTGGACTAAGCATTGTTTCCAAAAAGTTTTAAAGACTTATTTAAGTAATCTGTTTTGTTAATTGTCTTATGTTACAATTATTTTTGTCCTTATTTTTAGGCAGTCAGTTTTCTGTGCTTTCTTTTTCCTGCAGATTTTAATCCAGTAGTTTTATTGCTACATCTGCTGTCCCAGATCTTGCTTATGAGGCAGCAAGAATATTTGACTCCAAAAAGATGTCAACCAGCTTTGTACTAGGTGCTCCTCTCTTCCTATTTCTAACCTTTATTTCAATTTCTGATGTGAAATAAAGGTGTACACACACACACACACACACACACACACACACACACACACATATATACCTATATCTGCAATAATATAAACAATATGCATATTGCTTATATTACTGGAATATTTTGTGGCAAAACAAGGAGCATGTTGTAATTAACTAAAGTAAGAGTATGAAGAATTTAGTTCTCACCCAAATATTGCGGATTACTAAGATTTGACAATGAGCAAATTATTCAACTGCTTAGCCTCGGAATAATGTTTAAAATGAGTGTGTTGGACCAAAGAATATTGGTCCTCTAAGATAATATTGATCTTCTAAGGATAATGCTGCTCTTGGATCTAAGTAATTATTTTAAGAACTAGTATCCTCATGATAACTACCCTTTTAAAAAAGTGATACATAAAGAATTATCAGCACTTCAGTTCAAAGTTCCTGCACCTTGCAGTATAACAACAACAACAACAAAATAAAAATCTTAAACATAGAGCCAGTCATTTACGATTCTACAACTCTTGCTGTCATTTTCAGTGATTATAAAGGGAAGGGACTCAAAAAGAGGATTTCTAAGATCTTTTTAATCTCTGGAACTCTATTAATGATGTACTAAGAAAAAAGACATACTCAATTTGTCTTTAATAACCATTGAAAATAGGAAAGAAATCCTGGCACAAAACTGATACATCTGAAACTGTTTTATGTTATCTGAGATTATTTCCAGAAATATATTCACAAACTCTAGTCATTTTGGGTAGCTTCATATCTCATAGTAACAGCTCTTCTATGTGAGATCTTAAGAAGATACCTAGCAATACAGGCACTGAAGTCCTAGGTAGAACTTAATTCATGGAGACATACAGCTGATGTTCAAATTTTCCCTATAATTTTCTTGCTACTCAGTTTTCAAGCCTACATTTTCACTTCTTCTGTGATGAAGAATGCACCATCTTCCAAAATAGTTCATTTTAGTTCTGAAGATATATGCCCACATATGTATATATAGTGCAAATAAATATGCATTTGTAGGGTAAGGTTCATGCCCCTCTCAAATTATTTTCATGTGACGGGGTAATTATTTCTAATTTCACTAATGTGACTCAGTATGAAAGTGGAAAGACTGCAGGTTTGTATGCCAAAAGCACTTAAATGTAAATCCTACCACTCTGACTTCTTTTTTTAAATTTTTTTATTACAGAATACTAAGGGGATACAAACTTTTTGTTACATGAATAGCTTTATAATGCTTTAGTCAGGGCTATAAATGTGCCCATCACCTGAATATTGTTCATTGTACTTGTTAGGTAGGTTTTTACCCCGTCTCTCCTTCCTGCAGCCCCCTTCTTGATTTCCAGTGATTTTTATTTCTTTCTGTGTCCATGTGTGCCCATCAGTTAGTTCCAAATTATTAGGGAGTACATGGGTGTTTGTTATTCCATTCTTGAGATGCTTCACTTAGGATACTTATTTCCA